GAGTTTTAATGCACAGAGAGAAGGTGTGCTCTGTGGTTAATGGATGGGAATGGGAAAAAGAACGGCTATTAAGGTGCAACACTGAGTTGAAAGCAGTTTCTTAGCACCTGGTTGATGAGGGAACAAGCTCTTACATGTGGAACGGTGCCTTTTTGTCTTTTTCCTTTTTGTCTTTTTCTTTTCTTTTCTTTTTTTTTTTAAACTTTCGGAGCCTCATTTCATTCACAGAGTGAGGAGGAATTAGTTTGTTTATAAACATGACAGTGGCATAAATCAGCACTTTCACTTTCCTGATCATATTCCTTTAAACTGTCCCATTTTGTCTCAGTGCCAGTAATTTTAATAGCACATTGTTTCATTATTTGTGTCTCAAAATAAGAGTTTGTTGTACCAGAACACACTCACATTATGTTCCTTAGAAATACTGTGAATTTCCTGGTCCACAGCTTATGACTGATGGGTCTGCAAGTAAAGGCCACCTGTGCCCTTGAGCTGTTAAAAAAATGACTGCATCACAATGAGAAATGTTCGAGCCAGGCTGGTTTGAGCAGCTGCTTCTAGAATATAAGCCATTAAAAAAGAGCAAGAGCTAAGGTAAAATCTACCCTCTGGACTATCTTCCTTTCCCTGTCATGTATATGACAGTGTGTTAGCACATCCATCAGCTGAAGCTGTACCACGCGTCACCTGTTATGTCAGGTCAGGTCAGATGACGTATCACATTTATGAGTCTACATGATTTTTTTTTGCTTTCTCTGTCACACATTTGCAAGCACACAACCACACACATTACATTGTGTGATGAACGGCTAAGCTGTGGTTGCAAGTGACTTATGGCTGCTGACAGATTTGGAATGGCTTTGTGAAAGTGGTGCTGGCGCGGGGTGGGTCAGTTATCTTTCAGACAGATCACTGAATCAGACCCTCGCACTATAGGAGAGGGTCTGATTCAGCCACTAGTAACGATGTCACAGGTGATATTAATGGGTCCATTTATTACTTGGTTTCATAGTTTTGTTCACCATCTGTAATTAATGCATCAAAGAACTGATGGTATATGAAAACTTAATATTCTGCGGGTAAGGTCCTTAACGTTTCGATTTTTAGTGAACTTGAGTTTACTGGCTGAGTCCATCTCTCGTTAAACTGTTCAGTATCTTTGTAACCGTAGTCACGGCATGTAACACTTTTCGTGCTTGTATTTATATAAACTGAATATTGAGTTTTGTCTTCACAAAGTTGACACTGCAGAGCAACTTTCCAGAGTGTGAATACTGGATGCGATGCAGCTGTACTGCCCCAGCCACAGGGACTCCAGGGTGGCATCCACCCGCTGCACATGCTCCGCTGTGGTGTTGCTGTGGATGATGACGTAGATGGCAGCATATGCAGTGTGTGGACGCAGCACCCGGTCCATGAGGCACTGAAAAGTGGCGGGTGCTCCAAACAACCTAAACGGAAGTCAAACCGTGATACCTTGTTCACCTTGCAGTAGTTGACACAGAAACATATAGAACCATCTTTCTACAACACAAGAACTATGGAGCTACACTACGCACTGTTACTATTACTTATTTTCAGCCAAATTCTGTATGAACAATTTGTCTTTTATGCTCAGGTAACCAATAAGGCTGTGAATGCACTAGAGGTGGGAATCACCATACAACTCACGATACGATATTATTGCAATTTTTTAAAAT